TAAGTAACAAATAATAGCACTCATTGCGATCGCTCACAAACTCAAGTTGTAAATAAATTTCTTGAAAACAAATCTCCTGTTAAAAAAAACAATGCGTTTGTATTATTGTTTAATTTTGCTTAAAATGGTTGAACTGCCGTCTTATTACTATCATATGGCCGAATAGACCTAAGTACCATGTGCTCTTGTGATATGGTATAAGGTTTATTTTTGCTTGAAACAGTTCGAAACCGTTCATGCATAAAAAAAGTTCGCTAATAAATAGTCTTTTGTCACTCCGCCGCCGTATAGCGCCGACGTTTTTTTCCTTTTGAAAACACTTGTTTTGCTATTCTTACTAATTAGACGTTTTCAGATTGACTTTACTTTTATTTCACATGAGACATTCCACATTACTTTTTATTTTTACAGGCAAAGGAGTAATTGATAAAGAATGCCAAGACACAGCCGACGTAATATTATTCTTCGACAACCTGTTCGACTCTTTAAATGGTAGTTACCTAAATTCGAAAAAAAAAGCAGGGAAAGCTCTTCTAGGTCCAGTAAGACCCAACTCTATCCATAAAAAAGTTTGGCGTGATGCTAAGCAAGTTTTACATACCATGAAATTTGTTAAAATGGAAAATCTACAGTTGTTCCAAGTATATCAAATTGGCTCCAGTCAATCGAAAATATGGAATATCTTGTTAATCAATTAGAAAAACGGCATGATTTGACATCTCTATGGATGAGGCACTTTAATCAGGACCCGCTCGAAAAGTTTTTTGGCAGCATTAGAAGCCACGGGCATAGAAATGTGTCGCCCACATACGCTGGTTTCAAAGCTGCCTTCTCCTCTTTATTGATAAATAATATGAGTGGGTTGCATTCAGAAGGTTCAAATTGTAAGCAGGATTCATGTACTGTTTTTGAATCTTTGAATAATATATTTTTTGAAAGTCCCTCTGTGACGTCAAATCTAGCTGCTGAACCGCAAATTGATTATGAATACATAATGAGTAACAACATCTTCATAGATTTAGAAACAAAAATTAAGAATGTCAAAGTATTTGCACAATTGCAATATGTGGTAGGGTATGTTCTAAAGAAAATCAATACTAAAGTTTTTAAAAAATGTAGTGTTTGTAATACAAATCTATTAAATAAAGAAAAGGAGGATTCCTATATAACATTAAGAGAACACATAAAACACAAAAGTTGTTTAACGTACCCTGCTACTGAACTAATAAATTGTTTCTCAAATATGCAAGATGTTGTTACTTATATTATTCGAAATCATACATGTGACAAAAATATAAAGACTTATATTAAAACTATATTTTCGGTTGCAATAAATTACAATTTTGTTTTTTGCAATGAACATAAAAAAGGAATTATACAAACATTAGAAGATGTATCATGTAATATATTTTTAATTACTTGGTGTAAAAATATTAACAAAATTATGAATGGTACGAGGATAGACATAAATAGAGATGATTTGAATGAAGTTATGGCATATAATTATTATGTGAAAAGATTAAAGAAAAAGCAATAAATAAAAAAAAGTATTTTTATTTTAAATTTCCCTCTGTCTAGTTAAAAATTAATAAACTTCATTATGAGAATTTAATTTCGAATCTATACAGAAATAATTATTCTCATGATGAAGTTTATTAATTTTATCTTCATTTTTTGTTTATCTTAGAAGAAAGCCTATAGTATCTATACATACTATGTATACGATTTATGGTTATGTAGATACAATCACTAGTGCAGGTTTAAATCTGAAGGCGACGCTGCATGCGATTTCGACGACTGATTACTCTATCCTTGGTATAAAAAGATACTCCGTGCATTTTACTAACTACTATATTGTCATGAAATTTTTAAATATTTGAATTCAGCTAACTTCATTCCGTCTATCAACAACAGCTATATTCATATCGTAGTTTTTCAGACGCCAGCGCTATTGTGGTAGGTTTTGGAACCTCTATTTTCAGTAAATTTTCAACTTTCCCCCCATATGAGATGGTTCTCCTTCTACTCTATACTATATAAGATTGGCTTGGATGCTTGTCTTTTAAGCTTTCTTGATTTCATTCGGGAATTCAGGATTTTCGTTTTTTATAGATTTTCAGTATCAAGTGATAATAATCTTTTATAGTACAGTACACTGCTTCACAATATGTTAATGCATCACATTGCGTAGTTTTTGAGAGATTTTGACGGCAACTTCAGCCACCAGACAGTTGGCGATATCTCGAGGCGTCTAAGCAGACACCTTATCCTTATCTTGAGATTCATGTCACCATCGGAGCACTTGTTTCACCGTTTACACTAATAGTTCACATGCGTAGACATTTAATACACAAAACTGCCCCAATTTGAGATATCAAAATCCATTTCAAAGCATTATTTAAACATTAATTCAGATGTAGCAATTCTCCGCTGCGACGGTCAATTTCCCGCCAAAACTCCTATAAAATCGATCCGTTTGAAGTTCAAACTTTGAACTACAGATTACGATATACTACTACAAGTTTGAACCACAGAGTACATTTTTCAGGCGGTTCTTTTAAACTAGAACTCGTTCGAAAATGTAAATGGTGTCATGGCTATATGTTGCAATCGAAGTAATACAAATCCGTGGTTGCAATAGAATAATTTCATAAGCCATGTTCGCAAGTAAAAAGTAAAGTGACCGTAAACAGTTTAAATTACACTTATTGTTTAAGCGCAAATTATTATTTATTAAGTCTGTAGTATGTGTAAACTATGGAACTTTTTATCAAAGTTTATCGCCGTTTTCCATCTACATTGTTAGAAGTGTCAAAACTTGTGTCAGATATACTTGATTGGCTAGCCTGTTTAATGGAATATTTGTATCCCGATTTTGGAACATCTTAAAAATGTTAGACCAAGTGGCAAAAGATTACGCTGCGTACTTTAAATTGGATGTGTCAGAGGGCTTGCAAACAGTGCAAGTAGTTATTGACAATATGATAACAAGACTGGAGGAACTCACTAGTGTAGTGCATATTATACAGTTAAAAAACAGTGATTGCAATTCATCTGTGTCTGACGATATTAATAGATACCGAGGCGAAGTTAATATCTTATCCAAAAAAATTGTAACATTAAATGAAGTAATAATGATATTACATCAAAATGTAGAGAAAGTGGAAAAACAAGTTGAAAAGGCGGAGACTTATTTCGGTGTGAATAATGACAATAAACTCACAAGCTTACTCAGGCCTTTTTTAAAAAGGAATAAAGAATTAGTAACAATGTCTAATGAGACACTAACTTCAGAAACACTCACCATTGCAAGTGTTCTGGACAATTTTGAGAATAATAGTCGCTAATCTTGACTTTGAATTCTTGCTGTAAATATTAAAATAGGTATTGGTGAGCTGTAATTTAATTTTTAATAATAAAAAATCCTAGACAATTTTTTATTTTATTTATTACTAAAAATCACATAATATGGTTGATTGGATGTAACCAAAATTTTTTGTGTTTAACAAATTGGTATAACCAAGTAATATTAATGTGGCATTTCAATTTATGCATATATTTCAAATAAAATAAAACTTAATTTTTTTTTAAATGTAAAGTTAAGGTTAGACAATGGGGACACAAGATACAATAGATAAATCTTATAACTAACATTTTTAAACAATCAAGAATCAAGATTTAACCTTACTTTGGGTGATAATCTGGCAGCTTTTTAGGGGAAAATGTAGGTTTTTCAATATAGGTACTGGAAACAATAGTACTTATTAAAAATTCGTCATTTTCTTGTTAATTTTTAAATGTACTGTACGTTTAATAAATTTGGTTTTGTCTGGCGGAGGCTATATCCTCCCTTAACTATCGTAAAAGGTAAGTATGGGAAAAGCCAAAAGGACTTTTTTTGATATATGGTGGTATAAGCAATCTCTTTAACCGATTCGGTGTGGATGCACCATCAATTACTTTTCTGTGGTGTAAGACACGCAAGTTGCTCAAATTACATTTTTGGAAGATTTATTCAGAACAAAATATTTTGATCGCTCACAAACTTCAGTTGTGAACAAATTTCTGGAAAACAAGTCTTCTTTTAAAAAAAGTGTTTTTTATAATGTTTAATTTTGCTTAAAATGGTTAAAATGCAGTCTTAATACTTTCATCATACGGTCAAATGGATGAAAATGTTTGCTGGTAAATTTGATATTTACAAACGTTATTATAAGGTGAAAATTTAATTTAATAAAAACCAAGATTTTTAGGATGAAGATAAATGATTTAATAAAAACTGTATATAGTACAAAAGGTTTATAATCTCTGCATAAAATAGTCACTCTCCATTTCAAGGAAAACACATACATAGTTAGCCACTAAAAACAAGTCTCCTTCCGTTTGCAACTGATGTTTGTTTGGTTTGAAAGAACATTACTTTTTTACACATGGCTGATGGTACAATAGGCGTGTCATCAACTTTTATGGCGCTTGGCATGACAGGCGTGTCATACAATATTTGTTTGCCGCCACAGCTAAAAGTTGTCGAAAATTGGTGTCACAACGAATCGGTTAAGTCATAAATAAAATGTGCAGACAGGCTTCATGGCACAGCATCAATGTTGCAAGAAATCTGGTACTGTGATGGCCTTGAAAGGCCTATTTCTAGCAGTGAACTTTTGCAGGCTAGTGAAAAAGAAACAATTGAGAAGACTGACAGCTACATGTCCAGTTAAAAGAAATCACTGATTAAATATATTTTGTTTTTAACTCTCTTCTTCTTTACTAGGCTCTTCATTGATTCAAATAGTTTAAAAGAAAGTAAAATTGTATTGTGTAATATCTATAATATCAGTTTCATGATACCTTATATTTTGGGTTTATTATATAGTATGATGGTATATTAAAATGTGGTGTATGCAATGGACTGTGCTTTGTTCAATTACAATGAAATAAATGCAACTATTTATAAGATACACATAGTACTTAAAGTCTAAAAGCTCTTATATCTAAAAAAATCACTGTGTTCCAGTAGAACCAAATCCCCCATCAGATCGTTTGGTTTCTGACAAGCTAGTAGCTTCTTCCAAAACTGGATAGTATATTTTTTCACATATTAACTGTGCAATTCTATCTCCTTTTCTCACAATGAAATCTTGATCAGAATGGTTAAAAAGAACTACACCCACATTGCCACGATAATCTTCATCAATTACCCCAGCTGAAAATAAGATGCTATAATTTTATAAAAAATATTTTGTAACAGAATCTATATTAACTTTCTTCTCTTAACGATACTGTTGTTTTCAGATCACATTTATGTGTAAAATTCATTTCAGAAAAATGTCAAAAATGTTCAAGATAAAATTGAAGGGTCTGTTTGTAATGTTGAAATAACAGCTTTTTACTATATGCGTATGAAAGTATATACAGTAATTATAACAAAAACACGATTTCTAAAATGTTTGTCTGTCTGTTTGTTCCGGCTAATCTCTGGTACGGCTGGACAGATTTTGACCGGACTTTCACTGGCAGATAGCTGATGTTATAAGAGGTAACTTAGGTTATAGAAAAATAATTAGGGTTCAGTTAACAGACAGACAAAAATTTTAAAAAATTGTGTTTTTGTTAAAGTACCGTATATACTTTCATATGCATTTAGTAAAAACTGTTATTTTGACATTACAAACAGACACTTCAATTTTATTTAATTGTATAGATATAAATTTTCCAATTACACTTATTCCATTTTTAGACCGAAAGAAATACAATACTAGAACATCTACACAAATTATTAAAATTGTAGTGTCTGACATTACAAATGTCAAAATAACAGCTTTTCACTAAACGCTTAAGAAAGTATATACGGTAATTAACAAAACCACAATTTTTAAAATTTTTGTCTGTTTGTTCTGGTTAATCTCCGAAACGGCTGTACCGATTTTGATCGGACTTTCACTGGCAGATAGCTGATGTTATAAGGAGTATCTTAGACCACTTTTATTTAAGAAAAATAATTAGGGATCTGCTCAAAACAATTAAAAACTTAAATTACACGTGGGCAAAGTCGTGGGGAACAGCTAGTTGTGAATAAAATAAATGGCTATTATGAGAATGGCCCATATTGTATGACTCCATAGCCCCCAATAGGTATAATTATTGTACTTCATATATGCCAGATGTAATATACCTAGAATGATGATGGCGAGAAACATTAACATGGGAGACATTTGATTTTGTAGTTCCCAAACAGGTAGAAAGGTGTGGCACTTGAGGCAAATTCTTCCAACAGTGAACAGTTATTGAAGATTTAAGCTTAAAAGATAGCACTCACCACCAACATCAATGAAATTTTTAACAGCAAGTCCTGAACGAGGAGCGACACGACCATAGCACCCTGATGGCAATTCTATCTGCAGATCAGTTTTTATCAGTCCTTTGCCATGAGCAGGCACTGTGTATTCATAAGCACTAAAAAGGAAGCAGTATATCTGTTTAAATAGTTATTCTTTTGTTATGTTTTCATAAAGAAATAATGAAATGGCAAATGACTAATACTGTCGAGGTGTAAAAAAAACCAGATTTTTATATTGAAAATAAAAAAATAAACAGATTATAGATATTTCGTTAATTTTCTATTCTGTACATAACACAATCATAAACAGATTTTTAGCCCGTGTGTTTGTGCATTCCAATTTCTATATTTTGTTTTTGTATTTTTTGTGGGTTGTAAATACATACAACCCGTGCGACTTAACTGTGCACCTCGTGCTGTGACATAACTCTGACAATACTGTTTGCAATATTCATTTATTTTTATTGTTTTTTTTTTCAACATTCACAGGTTAAGTTAATAATAAATAAAAACAAACAAAATGGATATAAAAAGGATTAATTATCACAAATGCACACAAAACGAAGTAGGAAAGAGGTTGCATTCTAGAGAAGTCCATATTTAAGTCAAGCATGTTATACTTTCAAATGGCATGAAATAAAACTGAGAAAATACTATATATTTATTGTATGTATTGAGATATGCTATCCTTCATCATCCAGCACTCTAGCTGTTTTTTTTTAAATTGAAGTGATACACATACTTGTAGTCCACTGGATGGTAAGTGGCCACTGCAGTCCACCGACATAATTTTTTTTTATAGGAGAGGGGGCAATCGAGCATGCGGCTCACCTGATGGTAAGTGACTACCGCCGCCCATGAACAGCTGCAACACCAGGGAGGGAATCGCAGATGCGTTGCCGGCCTTTTGAAAAGGAGTACGCTCTTTTCTGTAGCTATAGCCGTGTTGGTGTGCAGTTGTTCATGGGCGGCGGTAGTCACTTACCATCAGGTGAGCCACACGCTCGTTTGCCCCCTCTCCTATGAAAAAAAAGCTATCTACAAACAAAGCAGGTTACAGATGCATTGTCACCGCTGAGGAATAGGGCAGAATGCCTCAGCTTATAATCATACTGGTTTTTTTTACTCTTCAGCCTGGAACACAACAGTGCAAGCACTGATGTTTGGTGCCAGAAATATTATAATATAAATATTGTGGTTATCTATTGTCCTCACTTCTTTATGCAGCCACCTTCTGAAAATCATCTGTTTGCCCCATGACCTCTAGCATTCTACGCCAATAGACACTTGCCTACCCTAGCTACCTTGGGTAAGATTTTCAAACCCTCCTGTTAATTTGTTCTCGTATATAAAGATTAAGTCAGTTATTACTTTTTGCCCTCAATTTTCCTCCTCAAACTTCATGCCCTAAATTTTCCTTGGGTGGAATTTTTCCTTCAAAATTACAAGGTACCACCCTTGAGGTGCAATAATATGCATACAAAAAAAGAACATCGAGAATACGCCCCTTTTATTTAAGTCGGCTAAAAACACTCATCGAGAGAATTTCACCATCCAGATGAACTTATGAATAAAAATATACTACGCTTATTGGGGGACACAGTCTGTTGAGTACAGAAGTACTATTATTTTAATGGACAGTTATATGCACGGAAAATATAAACTGTGGGATTTATAATACGAAAAATATATTCACCTCCTCAAATCAAATCCTGCTGCTTTTTCTGAACCCTTGACTGGTGGAAAGGCGTGCTCGCTAAGACGGGTAAATTTTAAAGTTATTTGATCTGCTCCCGGCATGTTGTTAGATTTTTTTGTTAAAAAATTAAAAATTTATATAAACAGTTTTAGAATTGAAGTTATTGAAAGTTTATACAATTACAATTCGTTAACTTTCGGGTTTACTTTTAAAAGATCACTTGTACTTAAAGAAATCTTAACCTAATATTGGATATGATAAACAATCAACGATAGACAGTTTTACTTTTAACTAATCAAAATCAAATTATACATTCAATTAAAATAGAAATCAATATAGTAAAATTAACGTCTAACGCGGCACGGAATGTCTTTAAGAAATTTTGGCGCGAAATCAAGTCAGAAAAATAAAAAACAAAACAAAGAGATTGTTGTAGTTGTTTCGCCAATTAAATCAGGTTAAGGTTTTAGACCATACAGACTTGTCTAATTTATATTTTGTTTACAATAGATTGATGCGTCACATTGTAAAGTGTTTGGGAGATTTTGACGACAGGTTTGACCCAGCGGATAGTTGATGACGATAATATCTCAAGATCCCTAAGTGAATAATAACCTGAGATATATATCACTACTAAAGCACTTGTTACATCGTTTTCAGTAATAGTAATAGTTCATGGTCAAACGTTTAATAGACAGAATCACATCAGTTTTACGCATCTAAATCCACTTCAAAGCGAAATAGAAATGATGACAAAACAGGAGCAGCAATTCGCTGGCGATCAAGTTCGCGCCTAAACTCTCCGACTTAACGAAATGAAAGAGAATCCAATAAATCACTACGTTTGTATGCAAAATAATGTCAGATGATTTATAAGCTCCTGCGCTAATATCATTATACTCTTTGATAGATTGCCCCTAATTATTATTAGATAGCCCCTAATTTGGACTTTTTCTGAAAGCAATTTTGATTCTATTTTGATTTTCAGGAAATCTGAATTTTGCATCTGCTATGTTCTGAATAACGACTTTATTTTAATTAGGGTTAGGGGTGCCTTGTTATTGCGTATACTTGCAGCACCTAATTAGCACTTAATTCCTTGCTATTAATATTTATCGTATATCTAATAACTTCATTGCGTTGCTAGCGAGACGTTTTGCTAGCAACGAAAATTTCAACAGTTCGTTGCGGTGAAAATTTTAGAGCACCTAATTTTTAAACTTGACCCCTAATTAGCACCTAAAAAGCCCCTAATTTTGGATTTTTCCAAATGCAAATTCCCGACTTTGCGTTACTAGCGATACACAACTAAAAATATCATAAATATAATTCAAAAGTGAATGACCATTACAGATTATTTACGCAAAATAAAAGGTGACATCATAAACTGGCAAAATTAGAAAAACCGTACCATCACAACTTATCAAGGGATTGCGTTTTATTTTCAGTTTGGTAAATTAACAAAGAAATTAAAAACGTTCCCTGTATTATCCACCCCTACTTTTTTTAAGTTTTTAGCGTTGACATTGGAACTTTAAGTAATATAAAGTACTATTTCTAAATAATAGCCACTTAATTTCATGAGATAAATAATTAAAATGATTATAAATAAGTGTAACAGTTGGTGTATAAATGCTAGTCTAGCAGCGAAACCCGGCGTTGCCCGGGTCAAAATACATCGCACAATTGATGGTTATAAAATCAGTTTTACTATCTTATATATGTACACAAATCTTTGTAGGTACCATTGAATTTACGTTGTATATAGCGTGTATGAAATCGACTAATAAATTTACTTATTAAAATAATTATGAATCAAATTCGAAAGTATTTTTTTTTTAAATAAAAAAATATGTTTTATTGAATATATACATATTTACAGGTTTATAAACGATTTTTTTTTCAATTTTTGTTTACAACACTTGCTTATATACTAGTTACATATTGTGCCTAGAACCTTATATGGCTGTATGGCATCAGGAAGTCACCTACAATACAGCACCACCTGTTAAAGCAAATAATAGCATGACATGACTCAATTCACTTACGCGATTTAAGTATATTCAACATCATGCCATCAGGAAGTCTGACCTTACAACTCCGTCCGCTAAGCAAATAACAGCACGTCTTTTACGTGACTTGAGAATGTTCACTATAGTATAAAACCCAGGGTCTAATTGTTAAGACAGCCCAGTAGTAGTTAAGTTACTTTGTAAGTTGTTTAGTCTAGTATTCCTGTGTACTCATCGTCACAGTAGTTAAGTTAACTTGTACTTTAGAAAATAAAAGTAATGTAGGAAAAAAAATTGTCTACTTTCATTTCAACCCTCCCTAGCCGCCGTAAACGTAGGTAAATTACTACATTTGTTGTTTTATTATTTGAACTGTAAATGAACAATCTTCGAGGTGACCCAATTCTTGAGCATGCGACGTACTATTGGCCGCGTGAAAAGCATGATTCTCTCAAATTAACGCCACAATATTGGAATGTTTGGCCTTGTGCTTTATTGATGGTCATAGTATAAGCCAGCTTGACTGGGAATTGTAATCGCTTAAAATTGAAAGGTAATTAAAAAATCATTGAAACTGCACGGAATGACTTTACGTATATTCCAGAATAGAATTTTCTGGATTATTCATTTGTCAAGATTAGGTTCTGAACAGTTTGTTTATTGATAATCACTTGAGCGTGGCTGAAATCTGAAAGACAAAAATAAATTTGACTCCCGCTTATATATTGTCAGCAATCGAAATTTCTAGTAGCAAAACTTTCTAGAATGCACAACTAAACTGAAATTAAAAAAAAATCGTTGAAACTGCATGAATTCAACTTTATCTATATTCCAGATTTTCAGTATAGAAATTTCTAGATTATTCTCTTTTCCAATCGGTTTAAAATCATTTATAAATAATTTTGAACATTCAAATAATCTAGAATATTTTAGACCAAAAATAATATTTTTTAATAATTTTTAATGTTTGGATATATGACGGAATTCCCCAGATCATTTATGAAATTTTGAATCCAATACCTCTTAGATCGATTAAAACTATTTTTAACCGATTTTAAACATTTAAATAAATCTTAAATTTTTTTAGATTATTTGAAAAAAGTTTAAAATGATCTGGAACATTTTAAATTCACTACAATCATTTGCAAATATTTTTGAACATTTACTAAGATGTTTTTAAAGTATAGATACGTCATACTCGCTCTAAAATGGCAATACGAAAGTCAGGTAATTGCCTGATTCGCATTCAGTCGGGCACGCTCTCGCTTCGCGGCTATACCTTTGCTACAGCGCGTAAATCTTCTAGTTATTCGTGGTAAAAATGCCTTCCTGTGCTTTTAGGTGGTGCACAAATTACACGGCAACTGTTAGAGACAAGAAACACGTCTCATTCATATTTTGAATATAGATATTTTGTTCATAATTGGTTTTATTATTTCAACACTAACCGCTAGTGTAAACTTTGACGCTAGCTAGTGTGTTCATTTCCATATCGGTATGTCACGCGCTCGCGCCAATGAGCGCTCAGCAGCAATCAATACGCAACTAATGATGTATATTCATCTTTTTCTAACGATAGGTATACCGTACTAATTGTCTCTTTTTGTTAGCGCAACGTGTCATAATAAATAACTGTACGTAGATATAGTACTACCTGCGCCACTTTAAAATACAATAATGTTAGTGTGTAACCTGTCTATCTTTTTTAATACGTCTTTGAACATTTATATACATGATAATAATTTTTAGAATGTTTTAGAGATTGTCGAAACCATCTAGAACGTTCTAATGTTCTAAAATTATTTTTAAGTAGTACTGAATATTTTTCAATTATTTTAGAGATTTCATGATCAATCCAGAAATATTTAAAATATTGTACATTGATAACAATTATTCTTAATTAATAATTTTCAGTGTTTGAATATATGACGGATTTCTTAGATCATTGGTGTATTTTTTACAACAATTTAGAACATTCTGGATCAACTACAAGCACTCATTTTCCATATTGTCCGTTCATCTTAACTTGACGCGTGATTGGTAGCACTGCTTACTCATTCGCGAGTCGCCATCTTTCTTTTAGTTAAATCGGTTCCTATAAGCTATATAGGTATGCTTTTAGTTTTATCTGTGTGCTCTTTTGCTTTTTAACCCATTCATTGCTACCAACGCACCATCTTTAATTCCGTCCTCCATGGTGGCACTACACCGGAGGCGTGGAGCAGATGTGCGGTGGTCTTGTTCTTCAAGAAAGGTGACAGCGTTCTCTTGAAGAACTACAGACCGATGGCCCTTCTGAGCCGCGTCTACGTGCTGTTTTCGAGAGTCATTACGAATCGTCTCGCGTGCAGACTTGACGACTTCCAGCCTCCCGAACAAGCCGGTTTCCGAAAGGGCTTTAGCACCATAGCCCACATGCATACCCTTCGGCAAATTGTACAGAAGTCCGAGGAGTACAATTTGCCACTATGTCTGGCGTATGTGGACTATGAGAAAGCCTTTGATTCCGTCGAAATTTGGGCGGTGCTGCAGTCCCTTCAGCGGTGCCAAGTTGACTGTCGGTATATCGAAGTGCTGAAGTGTTTGTACAGTAGAGCTACGATGGCTATCCGAGTACAGAACCAGAGTACGAAACCTATCCAATTGCAGAGAGATGTAAGACAGGGTGATGTTTATCCCCGAAACTCTTCACCGCTGCATTGGAAGACGTTTTCAAGCTTCTGGACTGGAAAGGATACGGTATTAACATCAATGGCGAGTACATCACTCACCTTCGATTTGCCGACGATATAGTCCTTATGGCAGAATCGCTGAACGACCTAAGCACCATGCTCAATGCCCTCAATAGTGTCTCCCAACGAATAGGTGTTAGGATGAACATGGACAAAACAAAGATCTTGTTTAATGTCCATGTCACACCTATGCTATTGTTGGGAGCACTAAGCACGAAGTTGTTGACGAGTATGTTTACCTGGGACAAATAGTCCGACTAGGTAAGTCCAACTTCGACCGAGAGGTCGATCGACAGATTCAACTCGGCTGGGCAGCTTTCGGGAAACTACGACACATCTTCTCGTCAGACATACCTTAAAACGAAATTGTACAACCAGTGCGTCTTGCCAGTGATAACTTACGGATCTGAGACGTGGTCCTTCACTACTGGCCGTATGAGGAAGCTCAAGGTCGCTCAGCGAGCTATGGAGAGGGCTATGCTCGGGGTTTCTCTGCGTGATAAACTTAGTAATGAGGATATCCGCAGTAGAACCAGAGTAACCGACATAGCCCAACGGATTAGTAAGCTGAAGTGGCAGTGGGCCGGCCATATAGCACGAAGAACCGACAACCGATGGGGAAGAAAGGTTCTTGAGTGGCAGCCTCGTACCGGTAGGCGAAGTGTAGGGCGTCCCCCCACGAGATGGAGTGACGACCTGGTAAGACATGCAGGAAGTCGATGGATGCAGGTGGCTCAGGACCATGCTTTGTGGCATTCCTTGGGGGAGGCCTATGTTCAGCAGTGGACTTATGAAAGGCTGTAATGATGATGATGAATGATGAACGCACCATTAGCGTTGATCGGGATTGCAACCTCATGCCATCAACACACCGTATGAGTTTAGTGACTTCTTGATGTTTTTGTGGCATTACTTAAAAATTGTAGAAATTTGTTTAAATCTTTGGCAACATTCACAGGTACAAATAATTTTTAAATGTGGAAACAGTGATAGTTTTTTCTAAGTACTATCAGTCTTATTTTGACAGTGCAAAAAAGTTTGGTGCTGAGAAGGTTTATTTTGAATTGAAAATAACTTAGGTTTTATTGGGTGTTTATGATATATTTGTGAATTGGAAGATAAAGGTAAGCAATATTCTTAATTCTATAATTATTTTTCATTGTTTCATTATGTATTTTAAAAGTTACAAAATACAAAATTTATGCATGTCTAGTATTTTTAATCTATTTTACACTAATAAAGTTAAATTTACTATTCGTAATCTATTTACATACTAAATAAATTAGAAGCTGGCCATTACATTTTACAAATTGAAAATGTAAGATTAAAATATGAACACACAGATAGAAACTTATTTTTATTATGTTCACAGTTGCATTTATAGTAACCAAGGCAATTACGGCAGATCTAGATAAATCATTGCGAGATTCAGATATAATGGATGAAATGAGAAATATACTTAAAGGGGAAGACAAAGAAGAAAAACCGAAAGCGAAACTACCATCTACAATACTATTGACTGAATAAGACCTTATAAAGATGCTGGAATTGTAAGATGACGATTTAGAAGAAAAAAGTGATGGCAGAAAGAGAAAATTTTACAACGTCGGTGTAGACAATGCTGGGTTTCAAAAAAGTCTAAAGATACTTCATATTTCTGTCCCGATTGTCCCGAACAATACGGGTTTTGTTTGAAAGATTGTTTCAAAGAGTACGATAACTACTAATTGTTTATTTTTAATTTTTAATAATAAAGTATTATCTTCATGGTTTTATTTTTTTATTTGGCGTAGTGTACCCTAATTGTCCAAAATAAGTCGTAAAATAACCCACTCAAAGATCATGCAGAGAGGTATTTATTGGGTAACGTAAATGTACCAATAGAGAAAGTCGATAAGTATACATTTATCAGATGTCGGACAATATTAAATTATATACAGACATTTTTTTTTTATAGGAGAGGGGGCAAACGAGCATGCGGCTCACCTGATGGTAAGTGACTACCGCCGCCCATGAACAACCGCAACACCAGGGGAATTGCAGATGCGTTGCCGGCCTTTTAAAAAGGAGTAGGCTCTTTTCTTGAAGGTCCCTAAGTCGTATCGGTCCGGAAAAATCGCTGGTGGTAAACTATTCCACAAGGAAGTTGTGCGAGGAAGAAAACATCTTCTAAATCGCACAGTGGTGGACCGCCAATCATCCAGATGGTGTGGATGGTATCGGGAGTTCTGCCGCGATCTGCGTTCGTGAAATTTGGCGGCTGGGATTAATCCGAACAATTCCTCAGAGCACTCCCCATGGTAAATGCGAAAGGAAATGCTAAGAGATGCAACATCTCTTCGCAGTGCCAGTGAGTCGAGCCGATTGGAAAGAACTCGGTCGTCGACGATTCGAGCCGCTCTGCGCTGGATGTGGTCAAGTGGAAGAAGCTGGCACTGGGGAGCCCCAGCCCAGAGATGGGAACAGTATTCCATGTGAGGCCGAACCTGCGCCTTGTAAAGTTGCAGGCGTTGAGCCGGCATGAAATACTGTCCCGCTCTACTGAGCACGCCAAGCTTTTTAGAGGCCAATTTGGCCTTCTCTTCCAAGTGACCACGAAACTGCACGCTACTCGATATGTCGACGCCGAGGATTCCGATACTGGCTGAGGCAACAAGGGGAGTACCTTGAAACTGAGGAGATACGACAAAGGGGTTCTTTTTAGCGGTAAACACGCAAACTTGTGTCTTCTGAGGATTAAACTGGACTATATTTAGTCGCCCCCAATCCGAGACTTTGTCCAGCAAAGACTCGACTTCAGACACAAGTTTATTCCGGTACTCAGTGACGTTTTCCCGAGAAATATTGGCACGGCCGGTGTATAGAGCATCACCAGTGCTGTCATCCGCATAGCAATGAATGCTACCGGCTTGCAACATATCATTGATATGCAGAAGAAACAGCGTTGGTGATAGCACGCAGCCTTGTGGAACACCAGCGTTAATAGGCTTGTAGTCGGAGCATGCACCGTCTACAACGACCTTGATGCTCCGATCTGCAAGAAAGCTGGTGATCCAATTGCATAATTTCTCGGGAAGCCCATAGGAAGGGAGCTTCGAAAGAAGCGCTTTGTGCCAAACCCGATCGAAGGCCTTCGCAATGTCCAGACTAACGGCCTACGCCTCCCCCTTGGACTCTACTGCCTCCGCCCATCTATGGGTCAGGTAGACCAGAAGATCACCAGCTGATCGACCCCGACGAAAATATATAGATTATATGAATAAAGAAGTCAACGGCATTTATATCGACATATATTGGGCATAACCACGAGTAGTCTCTCAGAATATGTTTTATAATACTATCCAAGCGACAACGCAAATGGTGTGTTGAATGGCACTTGTGATTAAATTTGTTTTACCAGTGCCCCACCGTGTATGTTGCGTTTACCATTTTTTAGAAGGGTTTTTGTTATTAAAAAACGTGCTCAATTACGCCTTTTCTATTGTAATCCACAAAAATTAAGTGGCACCCAGGTGATGTTTTTAAAATTTTAGTGGCAATGAAGGGGTTAATAATTTAAACTTAGTTTTAAAAATGCCGAAAGTGATAAAAAATGCTAAAAGGCAAACTATTTTTCAAGTTTACGCATTTTGTCAAAAAGAAAAAGCTGAAAACAAGCTGATTGTTCCATTGCAACAAGTTCGTGCAAGAGCTGCCGCCATGACCGGTATTTTTTTTTGGAGTTTATGGCCTGGTATCTAGACCTTTAGGCCAAGTCTTAAGTATTTTTATTCGGTTTATTGTAATTTCCCCACTCCTTCATAGTATACTGCTTCACAATATGTTGATGCGTCACATTGTGCAGTTCTTGGGAGATTTTGGCGGCAACTTGATCCAGCAGACAGCTGATAGTTGGCGATGGTATCTAAAGGTGCCTATGCAAACAAACAGCTTATCTTGAGAATCCATCACCATCAGAGCACTTGTTTCACTGTTTCCACTAATAGTTCACATGCGTAGACACTTAATACACAAAATCGCAACACTTTTATATATCAAAATCCACTTCAAACCATTATTTAAACAATAATACAGGAGCAGCAAACCGCCGCCGGTCAATTTCCCGCCAAAACTCCCAACATCCCCATGACCGGTATGTTTATTTATAGGGTGACCAGTTACAATGATTTATTCTAACCTTTACAGTACCGCATGGTAATGGGTTATATTTTAAATATGTTTATCTATTTCGCTAGGTGATACTAAAATATTTGTATGTAAGTAAGAAAGTATATTATGTATATTTTAGTAACGTCCCTTACTAAAATATTAAATTTTTATAAAGTAGTAATATAAAATTGCATTTGTTTAATGATTACAGATGTATCCGAATCTACTGTAACCCGAATTTTAAGAGAAGAAAGAGAGACCAGTTCAGTTTCAAATTTGGGTGTGTCTGGTCCGTCAAAAGTAACAACACCTGGAAAAAAACGACCAAATCGTGATAAGAAGGTCAAGATCGATGACTTCGATGCTTGTGCAATTCGACAAAAAATTATGTCATTTTACGCTGTACGAAAAGAAATTCCTACGTTAAACAAATTACTTATCGATTTGCGAGATGAAATAAGTTTTGAAGGTCGGCGTACTACACTATGGAAAATATTAAAACGACTCGGATATAAATATAAAAAGTGTGAATCCAAACGAAAAATGTTAGTGGAGCGAACAGATATAGCTGCCTGGTGATTTAATTATTTGAATTAAATCAAAAAATATTGAGAAGAGGAACGAACTATTGTCTATTTAGACAAAATATTTATTTGTTCCTCATATTGGATGCAAAAATGTTGGCAGTCAGAGTCTGAAAAAGGTGTATTGGTCAGAGATTCTAGTACAGGTAGACGATGGATAATTGCACACGCTGGAACTACAGACGGCTTTATTAATAATGCGTCACTGCTATTCAAGTCACAAACAAAATCATCCGACTACCATGACAACTTTATAAAATGGCTAGAAAAACAAGTTTTACCAAACCTGCCACCTAATTGTGTGATTGTAATGGATATCATACTTTACAAATAAATAAAAGCCCTAATATGGCGAGCCTCAAAGCATATATGGTAGAGAGCCTTGAAAACAAGGGGCTGTTGTTTTCACCTAATTTGACAAAAAATGCTTTATATTAGTTAATAAAAAATAACCAGAGCCCATATATAAGGCTGACGAATTAATAAAATCACATGGTCATAATGTTTTGCGACTGCCCCCCATATCATGAGGATTTAAATCCAATTGTGTTAATATGGAGTGTCGTGAAGAGACGTTTCGCAGAGACAAATGACAACCAGAGAGACGATCATGTGGAATCACTTATAAAAGAAGTGTTTGGCTCAATAAACAATGAGCTTTGGAAAAAAGAGTGCTCCCATGTTATAAAAATTGAAGATGAGTACATAGTCAAAGATAAAATAATGGGTGAAGGAAGTTATCGCTTTTTATTGTGGGTTGGCAGTGATAGTGACGAAAGTGATAGTGACAGTGATCATTCAAGTAACATTGAAGAAGATAATATGATTACTTTACACCTTATTGATCATAATTATATAAAGTAATTCTTTATTACCCTGTCTTAAGGCGCAGGTTGAGCAAAATGTCGCGCTAGTCGTTATTTGTGCGGTTTTTAGGAGCTATCTACTTTTTATTTAAAAGATATATCAACAAATAAAAAACACATTATATTTCTACATAATCTTGATTCCATGAAAGCTATATCCAATTTTTTTTAAAGGAATAAATATTAATATAATCTCCTTACAACGAAACCACATAAATGTGAAATTATTATTGATAACATGCATCTCCTCGTAAAGTAAGTATTATTTTATTTTGCGATTTACACCAATGGATAGGCAATTTATTAATGAACATTTCTATAGTAAATTTTTTTTTCAAAAGACCAAAATTTGTTTCTATTAAGAATTTATTTTAAAATCTGGGCATATTCACTGCTCACGGGCTTGCTGAAGTCAGTGAGCCAAAGTAATCTGTGCAGTGAGCCCTGAGCTTTTCGACGTGAAGCCCGTGTCGTTAGAGCGTCGACCAGCACATACACTCACGTCATATCAGTCGATAATAATATTACTTATTAGGTTATTTATAGGTAGTATTATTTGTTTGTTTTGGGTATAATTTTTCGTATTAGTTATACATATATTTGTTGTGGTTTTTACTGCGCGATGAAGCTTTTTGCGTGTATTTTCTTTGAAGTAAATGCAAATAAAAAAATGAAGCACCATTAGCATGTAAAGTAATCCATAATTAAAATTTCGACAAATATTATAATTTACACTATAAAAGGCTAATTCAATATTATCACCCAACCACAATATCTTATTAAGTATAGTACTGCCTCGTTGGTCTAGTGGTTGTAGTAGTGCGACTTCTGATCATGAGGTCCCGGGTTCGAATCCTGGGTCAGGCCAAATGTCAGTTATGAGTTTTTCATTTATGTTCTAAGTTATAATTAGTATTACTAAGTTATAGTTTTTTGCTAAAATATAGTATATTATTTATTGCTTGTTTTTTCTTCTTTTTCAAAAAATAATTGAGTACATAAGGTGTTCTATACTTATAATTCGGTAAAAAGTATCTAAGTAGGTACTAATATACCTACTTTTTACTATTAACTAAAAATTTTGAAAACTAAATTTAACTAAAAAGACTAAACTGACCATTTATTTTTTAACTCAAAACAGGACATGGGTTTATTTATACTCTAAAAACTAACTTTATACAATTAGTGTTCACTGTAAAATTATATTCGGTATAGACGGTAATTATTAAATGCAACATTTTTTTTTAATTATTAATTACATTTGTCAGTGGATTAAATTTGCTTTAATAAAGTTGGTGATGATTTTAAATAAAAATAAAATTCTGCTCAAGTTTTTTTATTGTTATCTTTGTTAACAACATCGCCTTTAGAACTCTGGAACCGTAAGTGTTTCTTTCAGACGTCCACAATTTATTCAAAATAAAAAAATACTCTTTCTACCGGAGCATTCGTACCAGGTAGACATAAAATATATTCGATTAAAAAAAATTATGTTGAAGATTGTTGACTTTGAATACTTCCATCCAACGAGTTACTGGACAATTTTGTGTCCCGGAGCTTTGTTTGGAGACAATGGGACAGGTGATCGAGAAAAGGGACAGTCCCGTTCAAAACGGGACGTATGGTCACTTTAGCTATAACTTGGCGACGGCTCCGTGGCGCAGTGGCTTAGCAATCAGTTGTTGCGCTGGGGGCCGCGGGTTCGAATCTCGCACGGAACAAGTAATAATTGTTCTGTGTCTGGATGTTTGTCCTTGTGCAATTTATGTTTGTAAACTGCCTCCACGACACAGGAGAAAATTCTAGTGTGGGGGTAACGTTCTTTTACAATTGAAATTGAAAGATTGTACCTTTATAGTTCTTGTTGATTTTTGTATTACCTTTATTAAAGTTACTCTTATGTATAAATAAATATAATTACGTATGTAGAAATAAAATTGATTTTCATCCTCATCAATCATTGGGGCGAGGATAATGTCTGCCAGCATAAGTAATAAGCAGGCTAAGTTACAAGGTGCTCAGTTCAAAAATTTGTAGGAAGGATATGTTACTTTTCAATACGTGACACGTAAAAACTAACAATAATCAAAAACACATCTACGAAACATCCTATTTATTAATTTATTCTTTATTGCACCAAATATTTGTACAAAAGGCGAGCTATCTATTTATTTACCGATAGTGAATAGGTATCTTTTAAACTGACAATTTTCAATACTTCATTTTTAATATATAATTAATTATAAAATTTCATAATTAGATAATATATGAAAATACATAATTCTAATATAATGCAACTAATATTCCGAATAAAAAAATTATAATACATTTATCGTTGTACGCTGTGTGTTATTTCCATAAATTAGTTTATTGATGTTGAAAAAATAATACTACGTAATAGGTGGCGTCTTACATATTTCAAATAAGCAATATATTGAAGCGAGCGGTATATTGTAGTAGCCCCTTAATTAATTTATCCTGATTATTTCAAATGACGTATGAATAATTTCATAGAGTACACTATGATACAAAAAAATATATATCAGCACGTCAGTAGCAAAATTTAAATTACGAAATTAATGCCCTTATTCCTCTACTAAATAAAGTAGTTTTCAAGATTTAACTGTTAGCGCAAAGTGCGTTTGACCGTATAAGCAAGGTTTGAACCCGTAACCTCGTGCTTGACATGCATGTCATACATGCTTTTCCGGTTCCATAATTTTTGTCCCTATGTTTCGGGAACGCTATTCGTATTGAAGCATGCGACAATGTAAATTACAGTGCTGCCAATCAGGTTACGCGTCAAGTTACGATTAACGGACAATAGTTCCTTTTAAAATTATAAAATATCCTAGAATATTCTAGAACATTCTGCAAAAATCTGAAATATGGTAGAAAATTTTTCGATATTATCACGCAAAAACGTAATTTACGCCATTCAGACAAGTCTTGAGCTTATATGAGGAAGAAAAGGATAAAAGTATCTCATTACACATTTTTACCACCCACAGCAACCAAACTCCCTTACTTGCAAGTGCATACGTGAGGCCTTTTACCACTGCAACCACAAGTGGGTGGCAGTGGGTGTCATGGAGAAAAGGCTGGGCATACAGACGAACACTTTCCTTTTATATATATATATATATATATATATATATATATATATATATATTAACAGTGGTAGAGCCACGCGGCAGCTTTTGCTGTCGCACGGATGGGCCGGCTCGAACCGGGGTAGTACCACGACCTCACAGAAAACCAGCGTGAAGTAGAAGTTTACCTCTGCGTTTAGCTTGGTGAGTGCAGGTGGCCGGAGGCCCTTTTTACTGGAAATGAGGCATTCCATCTTAGTCCTCACGGGTGACAACGCATCTACATTTTGATTTGTAACAGAGGATAGATGTAGATGTCTATTGGCCGCAGCAACCACTTACCATATGGTGGACTGTGTGCTCGTTAGTCACCCTTATCCTATAAAAATATATATATATATATATATATATATATATATATATATATATATATTGATTACAAATGATTACGTATCAATCTTAACTGTAACATGTTTATTGTACTTTAGTTACAAAGTGTGCTTTATAAAAAAACTTATTTAACTTCTGTCTAATACTATTTTAAATGTTTAGTAAATATTATAAAATAAATGTTTTGGTATCGCCCCAACCATTATATCGGATCTCATAGACAACAAATCCTTTCAATAGAACACCGAATACTACCAATGATGATTCGCGAGACTATTGAAATTAAAAATATCCTAATTTTAATAGGGAAGATGGCTGAGTGCTACCATCTGCTGAGGACCCCATAATTAATAAAATTAAATTCAACCTACTACTGCATTTATTTTATTCTATTTTAACGATGACATCAGGTCTTCAAACACCCCAGTTCTCCAGCCCCTCCCGTAACCATGGATGTTGTAAAGTGCCCAAAACATCCGGAATTTGAAAAATTAAAATTAAACGCAATAAAATCCTTAAAATTAGTAGCACTAAACTCATGAACGGGAGTAGAAAAATGTTCGCCCTGTTGTGGCGGTGAAAGAAAATCCACCACCTCATATTGTCCCGTCGTAAGAGGCGACATAGTAGGAAAGCAAACTGTAGAT